AAGATGTTCAAGTCACTTGGAAAGATCAGTTTACAGATTTTTGTAGCAATAAATAGTACTTTTATTTTAAAAAAGTCAATTTAGGGACATTCCCTCTTACAGTAATCCACTCAAAATATATTCTTTTACTTTGGTTGTTTTGTTTTGGGCTGGCTTGCTTTTATTATTATTATTATTATTTAACTTAGCATATTATGGTTCCTTTAATGAGAACAAAGGAAAATGGGTTGGTGCCAGCTTCAACCAAGATGCCAGAAATTCCTTTGCTCAAGAGGTTTCCGGCCCAGTGATTGAACTCTCCATGCTAAAACTAAAGACAAGTTAGAAAAATTTGTAGTGAGATAGTGGGCTATCTCACAAAAAATAAATTAAAAAAAAAACCAACCAAAAAAACAACCCAAAAACCAAAACAATAAAAACTGCTAAGCTTCTTTTTAGCTAGGGAAAAAAACAGATTGAACTAGCATAAGACTTCCACTCCAAAAATCTTCCTTGTCTTTTCTGAGCTATCCTAAAAGTATTTGTAAGAAATCTGCTTTTAGTAGAGTTCAGGAGCATGTCTATAGGCACTGTATAAAAAAGGGGTACTGTTGTGGTAAAGTGTTTGTAGACATGAAAGAAATTTTTACTTGATTATTCTAACCTGGTCAGATGAAAAAGCTTGATGTTATTTTAAAATGTGTAAAGCTCCAATGCTTAAACAGGGTGGAGGAAGGCATTAATGAATTAAATTACTATTCCTTCTGAAATCTGTAGTAAGAGCTATGGTTGATGGAAAGTCAGTTGGATCAGTCATGTAACTGGCATGGTAATTTGCATGCTGTAAATAACAATTAGAAAGCAACACTTGCTGTATCTATAGATGGGATGACATGCTCTACCATTTCCCTGTAACTTCTGTTTATTTGAAAGATGCATGGAAGTGTTTGAGGCCAGGCTGGATGGGGCTTCGAGCAATCTGGTCTGGTGCAAGGTGTCCCTGCCCACAGCAGAGGGGTTGGAATCAGATGATCTTTAAAGGGCTTTCTGAACAAAACCATTCTATGCTTCTCTTTTAACTCGCATTCATATAATTGCATTAAACTGACAACTGTCTCACATTTCATTGCTATTTTGGCAGTTTATAGGATTTTAGGAACCTGTTAGGATAGAACTATAGCCTTCAAAATCAAGATGCTTCTGGGCTGATAATAAGCAGGTTAAAGAAATTCTAAGAATATTAATTTACACAAATTTAGTTGTGTGTTATGTTATTGGAAAGTACTTATTTCATGTTCAAGAATTTGGACAGAAAGACTCAATCAACATTTAGATGTAAACACCATTGGTGGGAGATGATCTAGGGAGTCAATTCTTTCAGTTCCTAGAGTGGTTAAGTCTTACGCAATGCTTTTCCTGTCTTTATCTTTCCCAAATAAGTTTGGAGTCTGTTGTCCAGTTCTGGTTGAGTGAGGCAGAGAAGAAACTGTAATATAATTATCTATATATTAAACTTCCATATCTTCCTAGAGAAGAGACCAAAATTGATTTCTCCACTAACAGAAGGGTTTTATGACAAGACAAATAATTATCTATTCTGGTTATGTCTTCTAACAGCTAATCATGTGTGTGCTTTGGGATTAGCTGCAGTATATGCTAGTTTTTGCCCAGGCACTGAAAGAGGTGAAAACAATTTTATGGGAAGAGATCTGCACAGAGCTTAATATACTGTTAAAACCTTAGCATCAAAGGAGAACTGGCTGTGCAGGAAGCTGGAATTAGTGTGGAAAGTAGAGGTGCAGTGATGTGTGACAGAGATTCGTAGGAAATGAGCTTTCAGTTCTGTTGTTCACCCAACAACTTTGTTAAAAGGCAAATGGAAAGCTTTCTCTTTCTCCAGTCTGGAAAGGGCGTTTGGGGAATTAAAGAAGTGGGGGCTTAGTGGCAGATTATTTATAGGCTGAACAGTGAGGGAAAGTATTGCAGCAGATTGAGGAAAAATTAGGTGGAAAAATGACAGTTTGCAAAATTTGGTGAATAAAGTTTTCCTTCTGACTCATTATCTTTTCCTGAGCACTTCATTAATGTATAGGGTCAGAACTTGGCTTGGGCTTGAAGTCATGTGTCATTCTTAAACTGAAGTTTTCAAACCTTGTATTTTTTCTTCCTGGCAAAATATGAATGAGGTCTGAGCTTAGTATGACTCCAAAGCAGTGCTGCAATATGAGTTTTGAATAATAATAATTCCTAAAATGTGTTGATAGGTGCCTTTGTGTAAGGGATGCAAAAGCTGTAATATTTTCAGGGGTGTAATATTTTCAGTGATCAAGCAAGCTTTTCCTTACTTGGATGCTTTTAGTCATGATATTCTTTTCTGAAGAAACTGTTTACATTATACTTTTGATTACTATCATTAAAACCACTACCAGCTTGGTGTTCACAATTCTGCAGTATAAAATATCTTACTATTTACTAAGTGTGGAAGGGGAGGACCCCTAAAAAACCCCTAGTTTTCCTTAGAGTGAGTGTTTTGTCCTTGAAAAATGTTTGAACACTTGAAAGTTTTGCACTCCTGTAAAAGAGGTCATCACTCTTGCACAATGGCTTAGGTGAAATTGCTGTGAAGACTAAAAAAAATACGTTGGTGCAGCCAGAATTAGTTATCATCTTCAATTTTCGGAAGTGTTGGGCCTCAGCATCTATTTCTATTCAGAGAAAATAATTTAAAAGTGATCTGAACCATCCATTATCCAGGACTGAGACTGTTTCTATTAGAAAAAATAGTTTCCCTATAAACCATACGGTGGTTTTAAGAGCACCCAATTAAAAATTAAGACTTTTAATTCTACTTCTTAATTTATGGGGTTCTCTGCTTGCTTTTTATTATTAGAAATTGTGAAACTATGAAACACAGTCCTTGCATACTTGTCCCAACCCTGAGTTGTGTTTTTAGCCTAATCTCAAGAAAGACAGGCACTTTTCTGTTCCCTTTTAACTTGAAGAGTCATGCTTGGTGGGATTGTAATCCCTGGCAGTTGCACTGCTGGGGACTGGTTGGGGAACTGGTGAGTAACCTGCTTCCAGTTATCTTGCATGTCTTACTGCACCACACTTCTGGGGTTGGGAGAGGGAGATCTGGGGAACTCTTAACTGATAAGCTGCAGTAGGGTAGAGGACATGTAGGCTTCAGTTCACTTTGGCAATAAAATCTGCCTTTTTTTCCTCTAATATTTCAGGAGGCAAACTTCAACAGCAGTATAAAGGACAGTTGGTGACAAGGCATTCATACTATGAGAAGCTTGTTAATATTTGAGGTTTCTGCTGATGAGCTGTGTTACTGGGAGATTGACTTTTCCACTGTCATAGTGTCAGCCATGAAGAACTTTCTGGGGGGAAAAATAAGTCTTATATTTATTGCCATGGGTGTCTATGTAGTATAGAAAGCCCAGTGGATGGGGTCCAGTGTTGGGATGATGAGGGTGCAGCCTTCAAAGTAAGATATGACATCAAACTGTAGGACTTTGAGCCCAAACAAAATGCCAGCTCATGAAAGAGGGAGTTTTGCATATGGACTGGGATGAGCTCAGATCCTTTTAAATCTGAGTAAAGATCTACAGGTCAGACAGACTACATCTCCTTTTTGAGATGACAGCTGGAGGGTGTGTATACCTCAGTTCCAGTGGTCACTGGAGCATGTCTGTGTACATAATATTGAAGCCTAATTTCTTGATTCTTATTGATAGGTCCTCAAAAAGAATGAGCTCTTACTAGAACCACAATACAGCTTAATATGAATTGAAAACTCTATTCCTCTGCTGTCTCAGTTGAGATACTAGGGCGAGGAATCCACAATTGTAAGCACCTCTCTTAATGTGCATGTGTATGTCTGCTCGTACTGGATACTGTCCTCATAGGAGCACTGTGAGGCTTCATTAAAGATTTTAAAGTGCTTTATGATCCTCAGATGGAAGGAGCTTAGAAATAAACTGTTTGTAATCAGATAAGTTAGTAGCACATAACAAGGCTAACATAATTCACAATTTCTTATAGCCTGTTAACACTGGCTATTAACAGCCCTCTGAAAAGGAATGTGCACGTTTTAGATATGCTGTGTATTTTTATGCTCTATTCCATTGTTTTCTGAACTACTGTGCTGCATAACAAACAAACAAAACTCAACAAAACTTCCAAATCAAACAAAAACCCAGAAACTTTTTGTTAGCCATCTTAATCAGTATGACAACAAGAATAGGTAAAGAATTGATGCCTTTCAAATGGTAGTTAAGTGGAAAATTTTAAATTAAAGCTACAGTTATTTAAGAATTACCCATACTGTCCTCTCTAAATATTTTTGGTTCACAGATAATTTGTTTACTTTCTGATTAAAAAAGCTCTGTCAATAGAACACTGACAAGGTGAAATTTTATAGCAATTATTTCAACTTGGATACATAGCAACTCAAGTGAGTGCTTGCTTCTGAAAGTCATCACAGTATTATCAGCTCCTTGAAGTAAAGGTTTCCAGTACTTCAGAATGGAGAGTTGGCAAACCCTGATGAGGTTAAGAGGATTTATAGGTTTCAGTAAAACAATTTGGCTTTTGAGAGAGATTAAAATATTCTGCAGCTTAATGCATACTGTCATACTCAGTGTGAGCATGCACAGAACATATAGCTGCAGTACTTTATGTATTTTTTTCAGGAGGGGGTAGCTGTTTCATAGATAGGCATTTACATTTGCTTTTATGAAAGTGTGTGAATCGGATGCCTAGCAGTTGGTTTGGATTTTGTCATTAGGAATTCAGAGCGATTGTGGTGTTCTCATTGGGTTTTGCCACAAATAAGATGTTCCCTGGGTTTTCACCACATTTCCTAAATTGCTATGTTTGCATTAGACTAGCCACAAAACACTCCAGTCTGCTACATCCAGCAGGGCAATTCTCTGCTCTGGTTTAGGCAGAGCAACCTGAGCAGTTATATCCAGCTGCTTCTATTTCATTAAGTACCCCAAAATGCAACTCACATTAGCTATTGCCAGAGTTTCTTGAGTCTGCAGAGACAGATGGTTACAGTGCAGGTTGTAGTCCTGTTGAAGAAATCCTGTCAGTGGCAGAATCCCCGTTTGAGTTTCTGTACCTTATTATGAGGATGGGAGGAAAACATGTCAGAACCAGAGCCACACTAGCCTTTTATGGCCTCCTGCAGGGGCCAGTGGCTTATGTTCTGTGATAATACATTCTAATGATTTTTAGTCTCATTCATAAGATGTGCAGCTTCTGCCCTCTTCAAATTAATTCCTTTGGAGTGCCCTCCCATGGATCTCCAAGTTGGCTTCATTCCATGGTATTGTCATGAATGAGTGATTTAGATGCTTAAAGAATTCCTGTCAAAATTATTGGCAAAAGCACCATGTCTGTGACAGAGTTCAAGATGTGTTTGGATAATGCTCTCGGGCACATAGTGTGATTCTTAGGGTGGCTTGTGCAGGGGCAGGAGTTGGATTTTTTTCCCTCCAACTCAGAATATTGCTTACTACCTGGATGAAGCAAAGCAAGGAAAATCAGATCATAATCAATTTGAAGAAATTTGTACAGGGACTGGAAACACACACACACAAAAAAAAAAAAAAAAGTAAGCGTGCAGAGGGTAAGGGAGACCCATTAAATCATGAGGTTCAGAGTGGACTCACTTGCCAGACTTAGGCTCACACTTGATCAGTGGTTTTATGTCGAAAGGATTTAGTAGCACTTAATCTTTGGCTAATTTTACACAGAATGATTAAGTAGAAGTTAGTGTAAGCACAGCAGCAATGTAACTGTAGGTCTGAGATGTCAGTATTCACAATATACTTGCTGTAGCATATTTAAAGCAATTTGCACACAGCCAACACGAAGTCTGTACGAAGGTGTACATGTTTAAAGTTCTCCTGGTGTTCAGGTGTGTTTTGGCTTTTTTACTTTCTTCATTGTTACACTGTATAACTGTACAGAATTAAAAACTTGTATATGTTAAGGGTTCGATCCTGAGGTGCTCCCAAGAGCTTCCCGAGTGAGCTGTGAGTTCCCTCCCCAGGCACGGTTCCATTACATTGTCAGCTCCAGCATTTCCTACCCCTGTTGGGTTGACTCAGGAGCAAGTCTCCTCACAGCAGGATTATACCCGTGCCACCATATCCTTTTGCTGAACTGTATTCTTTACTATTTCTGCACATTCAGAGTAACATCTGGAAAGATCCCGCTGATTTTTTTTTTTTTTTTAATGTTACAGGATGCTGGGGTTCTCTGTTTCAGCCGCTGTTAGAGTGGTTTTCTGTGGAAATTGTTGGGAAGAGACTGTGTAGACTGCCTAATGGCCGAGTTGCAGCCTGAGACTTAGAGCACGCAAGGCGGCCGGAGAGACCGAGTTTGCTCTGCTGTCCTGCGGTGTTCAGTGTCTGGACCTTGATCTCGGGTTTATGCATGCGTGTGTGTCGTGTGGGCAGTCTGGTTGGAGCCTGGATTAACTTTGGTCTGAGCACGAACCTCTTGTCCTTGAGTCAGGAGGGCGTTGTGCTTAAAATGGGGGTTCCTCCAAGCGAGCGCTGGGGTCGGTGTTCCCGGTGCACCGGAGAACAGCGCGTGTGGCTGGAGGGTCTTAACGTTCACCATTCGCCGCTTGTCGGCTCTGCAGCCCTAATGTGGAATTAGCATAATTGGCTGCTGTCTTTTTAGCCGGTTTTAAAGGAAGAAGCTCCATCTGCACCGCCCTCCGTGCTCTTGGAGCTCCCCGCTGTATCCTCCCTGTGCCTCGCCTCTACCCGGCGGGGCTCGGCGAGGGAAGCCGCCCCGCTGCGGGCAGGGCGCTGTCCCTTTAAGGCGGGGGGCGGGCCGGGCCGGGCGGTGAGTGACAGCGCGCGCGGGGTCACGTGAGCCGCCCGTATTTGAAGGTCACAAAAAAGCTGCTTCCTTTAGAGAGAGCAAGAGGGAGCGAGAGGGAGGGAGCGTGAGGAGAGAGCGAGGGAGCGCAGCCAAAATGGCCGACGGAGCGTCTGCTGGGTTCTGAACGTTTGAAATTAAAAAAAAAGAGAGAGCAAAAGAAAAAAAAAATTAACAAAAAAGGAAAAAAAAAACCTAAACAGAAAAAAGCAAAAAGACAAAACCATTTTTGGATTTTTTTTTTCTTTTTTCATTTCCATTTCTACCTTGTATGCCTCAACTCGCTGGATTTAAGCACTGCTGCACTTTATGAGGTTAGTGGTACGTTTATGTTTTATTGTTTTTACCTATCAGTTGATTTCTTTGAGAGCCTGAGCTGACCGTTTCCATCCGTGGTTTGGCAGAGGTGTCTTTTCTAGCACAAAGACTTGCTTCAGATCTTGTCTGCTTGTACGTGTACGGCACTTTTAAGTGGATTTTTTTGGTTTTTTTAGAAGCAGCTCTCCGTACAAGTGTGGCGTGGATTTGGAAGATATTTGTAATTTAAAACACCTAGGCAAATTACAGAAGATAGTTTGTATTTTTCGAGCTGGTGAAGTACAAGACAGTGCTGAAAATCTTGTTTTATTTAAATAGAGGCTTTTAAAAGAGTAATTTCTTCCTCACAGCACTCGGAGCTCTTAAATCTGCTGCAAAAATTTGCATGTATGAAACCGGGCTCGCATTCTTTCTGCTGCGGGGTCGGAGCGGGGCCGGCCGGGGCCGTGCCTTCCCGGGAGCAGGGACGGAGCCTCCCCGCCGAGCCCCGGGGAGCGCTGCGGGGGCTCCGGCCGGGCCCGGCGCTGCCGCGGGGCTCCCGCGCGGGCTCGGCCGGGCTGGCGGCCCATCCGGCGTGCGCCAGGTATTCAGGAATGTGCGGGATGCTGGCCACTGCCGGCTTTTTGTGTTCTACGGGGAGCAGGCGTTCATCTCCACCTTAGTAAATGTAGGCAAAGGGCTGCGCTTTCTCGCCTTTTTTTTTTTTTTTCTCCCCAGCCTTCTGTGTTGCTAAAAAATTAAATCCGAGTTATTTTTGCAACTCCCTCCAGAACCAAGCAGAAAATTAAAGGGAAATAGCTGGAGCTTGCTTTCTGAGAACAGGCCCCTCCTCCTGCATTGTAAGAGTGTGATGTAATGCTCCTTTCTGTGGGGTTAAATGAAAAAATTTCTCTGGTGGTATACATTTTACTTCACCCCTTCCTCACAGGCATTGCATTGTGATTTTTTTTTTTTTTTTTTTTGTAGCTGAACATGTAAGCAGCAGATAATTCTGCCACTAATCGTGTGAATATACTCCACATTGCAGTGTAGTAGTGTAATGATTGTGGTTAGCAGATAAACTTTGTAAACCTACAAGATGGTTCATATTTTGTATTTCTTTGTGGCCTTACATGCATACGGTTAAACACAAATGGAGGAGATAGATTTCAATAAGCTTATTGAAATCTGTCTGGCTGTTGTCGTTATAGTGTTGTACATATTGGGACTTTTTTTGCTGCACTGGCTAGCAAATATTCAGAATAATTCAATGCAGTGTGTTGTTTCTCATGGAAATTAAGAGATGGTGTCTTTGGAGCTTTTTTTTTATTTTATTTTAAATTAGAGGAAACCAGTAAGAGCTCTGCTCAAATTTTGTGCAGTGTATTTTGCTGGTAATTTTGGTCATTAAACATTTAATAGTAATGGATAACCCAGTTAATACATGAAGTAATGCATGCCCTTTGCTTAGGGTCAATGAACTTAATAGATTCCACTCTCATGTTACTGGCAGGTATCTGAGGAAATGCTATAAAAACTTTCTGTGTCTTTGACATGATGTACCCTGATGGCTTTTGTTATTCAAAACCTTCTTGGGCTCAGTGGAGATGTAGTCAGAATATGCTGGATCTACTTGTTGATTGACAAACAATAGTTAGACATTAGAACTGTTTTCAAATGCAGTCTAAAGTAGTATTCTCAGATTTGGTGCTTACTGGACAGAAACATCAGCTACTGCAGTATATGTGATAATTGCTGTAGAACGGGATGGCTGAACTAAGCAAGTAAAGAAAACCCAAGCTGTGTCCTAAGCCGGCAGTATTGTAGGATGTAGTCTTCCCAGAATCTGCACTGCAGAACAGTACTTGCCTTTTCTGTGTATTTTTTTGCCTTCATGCCTTACTGCCTACATTACACACTTGCAGCATGTATAGATGTTTGCACATGTAGTTTGATGGTTAAGGTGATGGAATACAGGGTGGTTCCCAATAACTGCTACTGCTCCTAGCTATAGAAGCTGTTGTGGGTCAGACAAAAGGCAGCTATTGAGAATAATAGAAATCATTCCAGTAAGGAGTCTATGTCAAATATTTGAGCAGCTTTGTGAGACTGTAATTGTGAATAGGAAAGACCAATTAGAGTAATTCCTCTTATAAATATGCTTTTGACCCCTCAGATCTCACTGCGGACTGTGATGAGCACTGTGCAGTCTGTGCAGCCATAGGATTTTAAGTGTGAATCTGGGCAATTCATAACGCTGTTTGTATTCAGTGCATTCCTGCAGTACAGCAGGAACAAAACACTTAAATTTGAGAGAACTGACTTGAGTTGCAATTTCTAGATCAGTTTGAAGCATGGGGGCAGGGGAAGTTTCCTTCCTTCCTTCAGTTTGCAGTGATGATGGTGAGTTCAGAAGCTTTATTAAATTTTTCTGTTTGCATTTGCATGTCAATTGTTGTTGTTATCTACAGGAATCACTCCCTTTCCAAAGCAGACTGTTTTAGAGGGTTGAAAGCTACAGTGAAGTCTGTAGTCAGCAGAACCCCTGGAGATTTTTGCACTACATCTAAGAGATTCTTGAGAAATAATTGACAAGAAAAGCCTTACTACCATTGAGCTTCAATATACAGGAGTCTGCAATTCTAATGGGAAAAAATTCAGGGAAAACAAGTGACTGAAAGATCAGTATGCTTCGTTTCAGTTGCTTTTCTTTTAGCCTCTTTCTCTCCTGCTGAGAAGGAAGAAAAAGAGACTTTGTAAGATCATGCAGTCTTTGCCAGCTGATTTCAGCTGAACTTAACCTTTCTAAGATTTTTGTTTCTTACCTAGTAATAAGTGGCTTAGTAGAGGAGAAAGTGTCAAATCTATGAGGAAAAAAGCCATAGAAAGAGAGTATTTCTGGAAGAGAATTTTTATCCACAAGTTTCCTAGAAACTTGTCTTGTATCCTGAAACAAAGTTCTTTAATTCTTGTCATTATGGATCTACATTCCTTTTGGATCAGGGTGGAAGGTGATACGTTTAATTTATAGTTTATTTTGAACAACATTTCTTGGAAGCTGCACCCTTGGTACTCTCTTCAATTGGCAGTAGTTCATAACTGAAAAGTTTCAGCGTTTTTTTGCTTTAATTGATTAGGAAACCATCTATGGCCTTCCTAAGAGCTGCTTCACCTTGTTTGGTATTGGTTTCCTGTTTAAACGACTCAAGATTTGAGGCAAGAAAATAAGATACTGAGGATGTTTAGCTCCAAGGACCTGTATTTCATGTCCTGTCAAGGGAATCGGGTATATCAAGGTTCCAGTTTTGTTACCTTAGATTTCAGGTAGCTAAACTTTAAATATTGGGCTAACATTATTGCTCCAGAATTAATGGTGTAAAATTCAGGTTAGATTGATACAAAGATGTATTTCTTCTGAAATCTTTAGTTGCTAATGTAATACTAGCATTAGCAATCTTACGTGATATGATTGCATGTGCTATTTTTCAAATATTGAACAAAGAAGTTGCTTAAAGTTGGGTGTCAAGATAACAGTTTTTGGCCATTTCAGCATTAAAGGCAAATGTGGAGCTATCATGGAGGTAAATACTATATATTGGGAATATTTCTATTTTGTTGTTGTGATGGTGCCATAATTGCTCTTCAGAACACAGGAGAAATGGTGCCTTTCTGTATTTGTGGTGAATTCCAACTCTACAGCTGTACATTTAACACTTGTCACTGCTTAAGTTCTCCTTTACACATTGGCTTCCTACTAAAGAACACAGCAGGGAGTTTTGTGTTTTGTTTTTGTTTGGTTAGGGTTTTATTTTGGTGGGTTTGGGGTTTTCTTCTTGCTGAGACAGAACATATGTTTTGGGAGCAGCATGAATATATGTAAACCCTGATAATTTTTTTTTTTGTTAGTTTTTTTGTTGTTGTTTTTTGTGCCATCAACACACTTCTGAAGGGAATTCCTAAAGTTAATGGATATTGTCATTTTGAAGGCTGTTTTCCTGTCTGTATGCAGCATGCTGGCATTATAGCTTAGGGATTAAATGCCCTGCTGTTACTACAGTTGTCTATTTTGTAATAATTTCTGAGAAGTTGTGCCTTAAGAACTGGCTGATGTGATATTTGGGTGTTATAGCATGAGTAAATTGAAAGACCTCTCATTCAAAATATTGTACTTTAAGGACTACTTTTAATTAGCCTCTTTAGTCATGTGGGAAAACATAATACAAGATACAACCCGTGGAGTTTTTCAGGTACCTCAGAGAAGATAGATTAATAAAACACGAGATGTACTTCAAAGGCAGAACAAAACAAAACAGGTTAAACACCATGAAAAAATGTGTGCTAATACAGCTACAGATAAACTAGTGAGGGCAGTTTTGTTAAAAAACACAGTTAGTAAGAATGAAAGTTGACTACTGTTCCTTACAGTGCTACCATTTGCGTCTGAACTCAATTAAATGGATGTCTGTATATGTTAGAGAAAATAATCTAAAAACACCTTGACACTGATAGGGAAAAATGCTTAAAAGTATAAAGCATGTTTATATTAATAAAAACGTGTTAAATTGAGACTTTTGAAAGTGAAATGTGACCTT